GGGTCGCCAGCCTCGCCGCGAGACCGCCCGTGGAGGCTGCGCGCCGCGCCCGGAGCAGATGTTTAACGGAAATCAGAGGCGGAAAGAGACGTTGGGGATCTAGTTCCATTCCACCGCGTCTACCGGTGCGCCCGCGGCGGCCGCGCTTGGGCCTGGGGGCTTTGGAACGCACGCGTGGATCGGGGGCCTCTGGCCTGTACCGTAGCCCACAAGGGAAGGAGTTATGAGGCGTATTGTAAGGATGGCATAGAAGGCCATTAGGAGGCCCAGAGGGGACAGAATAATCGAAGGAGCCGGCCCGGGGCTGCCTCAAGCGCACGCCGCGAGCCCCGCGCCCTCCTGCTGCTGCGGCTAAGCTGGGTTCGTGCAAGGTTAAAGCCCAGAGGGGGGCATCAGAACATAGAGGGGGGTGCTACAGATGAGACAGGACTTTTAAACTCACACCTTGACGGGACTGCCTTTTGAAAGGACAGTGCGGTTTAAGCTCCTTTTCGTGGTTCTGTGCTTCCTCCGCGGGCCTTTGGATTCTCAGCGTGGCCAGCGGGGTGGAGACCGTGGGGAGGGCACTGCCTCAGCTCTTCGGCTGGAGGCGCGCTGGCCTGCCCCGCCTGACCTGTCTCTGCAGCTGTTGCTCTTAGGCCAAGTCAGTGGCGGTTGTCAGTCGAGGCGAGAACAGATTAATACTAACCAAGTGACGGGTAGGGAGGCTTACTGTGAGGGAGCACGTTTTTCCCTGTCTGTCCCCAAACTCCACCGGTTTGTCCCATTTCACCTGACAGATCTTGGAAGTTGGGATTCACTGAGGTCTGCACCACACTTTTATCTAGAAACAAGTGATACTTCAGCAGGAGGAGAGTGCAGAGAGCTGAAGCTCACCCCAAATATCACTCAGAGGCTCCGCGAGCTTCCACGACCCTCGCCATTCTCCCTGGTGTAACTCAGGCCTGAGTCCCCAGGCATCATTTTTGGTCTCCTCTGCATGTGTCTGCCTTGTGGGGAGACTAGGACTCAGAGGGCACTGGGAACAATTTTAAATGCTGCATCTACCTCACAGGAATGCCAATGTCTGGTTCTCTTGGAATTAGATAAAATTAAGTTTTATATTCAAGGCTGCTTAACAACTATAACAGACCCTATTTACAGTTCTGATTGGCATTAAAATAAATAGCATGAGTATAACTAAAAATGAGTGTTCTATAGATAACAGCCTAGGTATTTCTTATTGAATGGCTTTATGTATTTTAACAACCAGGCCACCTTAACATAGTAGAGATCTTATTAAGGCTCCACACAGCTTTCTCTTCAGGACACCAAGGAAGAGTAGAAAGTGAGCGACGTTAGAGTTCCCCCTTGGTCACCACGGGTAGGTGACCGTGAGCAAGTTACCTAACCTTAATGAACCTGGTTTCTAACCGAGAAAGGAGGAGCACCGGGAGCAGGTAATAATACTTACCTTAGGTGGTGTTTGTGAGAATGAAATAGCATTCTCTAGCATTCCTAGCAAAATGCTGGCGTGGAATAGATCCTCCCTAATGTCAGTTCCTTTACATGAGCACCCAGGCCTCAGGAACAAAGCAGTCAGGACAGAGCGATTCTCTCTTCCTCTCCCCTGGTACAGCATGTGCTTAGGCTGTGTTCATGTCTGTGTTAGATTCCCTCTGTCAGATTTTCTCTACTCTTCTTATGAAATGATCATCGCAAAGTTTTCATAATTAAACATGCTGCACTCCAAACTCCTCTATTTGCTCAGTTTGGGTCAGAGAACCGTTTTTCTATGCTCCCATCAAAAAAACCAAACCAAAACAAAAAACCAGAGTTCCTGAAAGGCCATTGAAACAGTTTATTTATTTTCCAGTTTCCTCGTTGGTCAGTGGCATCTGGCCACAATGATCCAGTGGGTAGTCATCAAAACTAAAGAAAGTGAACTTCTGTGGAAAACATTTTGGTATAAAGTTTCCACCACTCAGTTTTAGCCCAGGACTGCCTATTCATATTCACCATTTCCTGGTGTATTTCAGTGTTCCTTGTGGTGGGAAACTGTCACTGAAATAACGTTAAGTGTCCCAGAGGATGTGACTGTGCTTCTACTAAAAGTTTTCAAAACAACATGGGAGTAAGTAGGAAACCTGAAGTTTTTATAAGATCTTATTTTATTTATTTATTTTACTGATTGATTTTTAGAGAAAGAGAGGAAGGAGGAAAGAGGGAGAAACATCAATTTGTTCCACCCATTTGTGCATTCATTGTTTAATTCTTGTATGTGCCTTGACCAGGGATTGAACCCACAAACTTGGTGCATTGGGAAGAAGCTCCAACAAACTGAGCTACTTCTCCAGGACTTGAAATTTTTATATCACAACAGAAGTTTATAGCTTTTGGTGGAATTTATGGAGGGGAGCTTGGATTTTTAGGGCTAGGCTCCTGAGGAAGAACACACTAGATATATGTGTATGGGGGCAAAGGGGAGATGCCACCAGACCCCAGGAACAGAGCATGGGGCCTTCCCCCATCCATAGGGAATCTTAGGCACTTACGCTGGTGCCTTGCAGAAGACAGGGCCTTGGGCCCCAGAACTGGTAAGTTTGCCAAGCTGGAACCCTGTACACCTCACTAGCAAGTCTGTGAGGACTTTACATGAGCACCCAGGCCTCAGGAACAAAGCAGAGTCACAACAGAGCATTCTCTTTCTCTTCCCCTGGTACAGCATGTGCTTAGGCTGTATTCATGTTTGTGTTAGATGCTCACTCTCTTCTGGTTTTTAATACAATCATAGCTTTATTCTACATGGCATCCCAAACCCTGCCTCAAAATAACACCAGCACTTCTGAAGTGGACGGCTGATGAAGACAAAGGAGGTTTTCAAAGAGCATTCAGAGTGACATGGAGAAAGCCACAGAGGGCTGTCTCAAACAAGAGGGGCAACTGAGAGGGCACTGTCACCAACAGAGGCAAAATTGTGTGGGCAATTTAATTCAGCCAGTGATATCCCAGGAAAAAGCAAAAGCCAGCAGGTCCACTTGAGGCCAGGATCTGAAGAGTTTTGCAAACAAGAAATTGGACCTTGTCCCAGAACCAGCAGAGATGCTTGGGGGTAAATGATAGGATCATTTATCTTTCCATATCACAATGTCTGGCCCCCAAAGCATGGAGACCCTCTGCAGTGGACAATGCAGCACAAATCATGGACTCAGTGCCCAAGAACCGCCTGTGAGTTTGTTCAAATGCAAACTTCTAGACCCCACCTAAGAGATTCTAATCTGGGGGGAGAGTAGGGGAAGCTGGAATCTAAATTTTTTAACAGCCACCTACCTGATGCTCATGCTGATGTGGTCTATAGACTGTACTTTGACAAACCCTGTTCTCAGAGCTCCACCCATTTCTCTAAACCAGAAATTGACATTCCAGACCTCCTTGTGTACATAGTATTTTACGTGCTTACTTTGGAGGAATTTCCTGTTTGCTGAAAAGTGCTCAAAAACACAAATTTCTCTTACAAAATGCTATTGCTATGTCCTTTACCCTACACTTTTATGGTTATTTTTATTGAGGATCTACCAGGAGGTTAAAGTTTAGAAAGGCTTAGATGAAAATGATCTGTTGGGGAGATTTGTTTTGTAGTGCTGGCTATGAAGTGCTTCACAATGAAGTAAACCTTTTCCAGAGCCCCAGAAACTTCTTTTGGCTGGCATGTGGGCTCCCAGTAACAGGGCCCCATTTGGTCATAGAAACGCAGTTCACCACCATCACCAGGGACACCTGCTACCTGGCTTTTTTCACAAGCAGGCTCTGGAGTGCATGGGGGTATGTATTCTTTGGCAGTGGCTACCCATTACAGAGGTTGGGCTGGAGAAGATATCAGGCTGACAAATACTGCGAGCCCTGGCACTGAGACGTATCGTGGCTCAGCAGTTGTGCATCAACCTAGGATCCAGGAGATCTCGGATCGATTCTGGTCGGGGTGATGCCTGGGTTGCAGGCTTAATCCCCAGCTGGGGGCATGCAGGAGGCAGCCAATCAGTGACTCTCTCATCATTGATGTTCCTATCTCTCTTTCTCCCTCTTCCTTCCTCTCTCTGCAATCAATAAAGATATATTTAAAAAACAAACAAACAGTGAATCTTTGGACAGGATAGAAAAACCTATTTACTGGCTTTGTGCTCCATGATAGTGTTTGGGTCCATCACTAGTAATGATCCTTAAAGGGCGTCTAAAAGAGGAACATTTGGATATTGTATGTATGGCCCAGCAGTTCCGCTCCTAGACCACAACAGAAATGCATATGTATATTCATCGAAAGATAGATTCAAGAATCTGCACGTTGGCACTATAAGTTTACATAATAAGGCATCTAGTGTGTGATCCTAACTTCATAAATGAGGAAGCTGAGGCCGAGAGATATTAAAGCCAACCAGCTAGTGCTGTTGCTAGTGCACCCATCCATTTGAATGCATAGCATTCGCATGTGGGTTTGGGAAACAGTCGTTTAGGTAGAGCCAAAAGGTAAAGGAGTGAAGAAAGAGAAAGACTCAGTTGGCTGAGGGTCACCCTGTGCACCAAAAGGTCGCTGA